ACCGGTTTAAAAGGTAACAGGTTACCCATTGCTATTATGGATAGATTTTTTAAAGTACAATGCCTTAATAAAAAATAATTTTAAAGTACATTGCTGTAATAAAGAAAAACAAAAGTAGAATGCTATAATAAGAAATTTTGTGAAAGTAGGTTGCTATTTCATGCATTTAACCCTTTATCTTATGCTAATCACAAGGGTGGTGACTAATTGGTTTGAACTTGGCTCCAAAGGTCAAAAGTACCACGAGGTCCCAGGTTCAAATCCAAGGAGGAATAAAAATCCCCTTGTAGCCACGAAGGTATGCGGTGACTCAATTTGAATATGTGGAACCCCCATCAAATTACTTTCCGAAAAAGCCCTTAAGAAGAGAAGGGAGGTTCCAACATTTATGGGAGAAGAAATGGTTCAAGTCTAGCCGATGTGGGACTCTAACACTAATCAATGAATTTTATCAAGTTAAACAAATTCTATGCATAGAAACGGATGTGTGGTTTACCTTCTGCAAAGCAGATTTTGGCAAGCGGGATCTTGTACGCATTATAATGGATTGTACGTTCCATTTCAACTCCTCTAATTCGTCCTGTAAATTTGTTCCGTGCATCTGGTATCATACAAACACACATACAGTAAAATACACTAGGATTTTAATTGTAATCTTGCTCAATAAAAGAATCTTGAATATGGGTATTCTCCAGATTCCTAGCAAAATTAAAAGGATACGTTATAAGCAAAGATGAGACTACCTTTTTGACTATTTGAAGAAGAACATCCTCACGATGAGTAGGTAACTCGAAACCAACTTTAGGATTTGAAGCCAGAAAAAATGGTTCCGTGAATGTTGTTTCAAAACCAAACAATTTCTCTAATATTCGAAATGAGATCGCTTCCCGTGCATTTTCCCCAATGTCCTTGGAGATCATTGGACTCTGTAGGAATAAATCTAGATGCAGAACAACAATGACCAATAAGCAATCCTAAAACCTTAACATAAATGGTCAAAGAAAATAGAGTGAAAATATTTATCATGATTAAATACCCTTTATTGTAGTTGCACCTACTTCCCTGAAGCATGCCATGGTCTCCAAGGCCCAGACCCAAGCCATGACAGATGCAGAAGAAGATTGGCTAGCCATGAAGATCTAAAAACAGATGGAACCTGCAACAATATCCATAAAGATAATGCATTTTAAAAAATACACATCTACGTGCTTACCATTGCTCAAATTTGATGCCATTCAAAGAAACATATTTTCTTGTCATCATTAGAAGTTATAGAGAAATTAGTCCCTTCATTCCAGTTTCCAAACAGAGTCCACTTTGCAAAATTCAAGAATGCCGATTGAATTTGTTGGTTCCCATTATCAAAAACTACATTATTGTAATATAGAGGGAGGTTCATTTAGGAACCTTAACTATTTTTGGAAGTCAGGAACCACCCTTTTTGTGAGTATCCATGATGAATAACATGATAAAACATTCATAATAAATGTCATGACAGATCACACACTAAGTGGTTCCATGTTCCTAAATGAACCTGTCCCTTGCAATATATTATGTATCAATTAAAGTTTAACGTAGTTGCAAAAATTCAAGTTAACAACATATACTGGCCTTTATCACCATTGCAGATTGTTGATGCTTTGTCAAAGGGTTTCTAACAAGTGTAAGTCTGACACATTGCAACTTTAATAGCACAAACCAAGCAACAGATTTGAACGTCGTAGGTATCATTTTCATATTTTCATGTATCCTGCTTAAATAGAATAAGAATTAAAGCAAAATCTTACTAATTGCACCTTTTATATTATGATTAGGAACCAGGTTCACATCAAATTATCATTTCCCTAATCCATACAGCACCCAAATCCTACAAATTTTAATACATCGAAATAAACCTTGATTAGCAGATTGTTATGATCACTCTTCGATTTTTAATGCTATATTATCGAGCTGAATAGACAAATGGATTGATAAACCCTAGGATTAGCTAATAAAACAGCAAAATCGTAGACAACAATTACCATATTGAGATGCTTGACGAACGAAGTGGAATGCACAAATACCTCGTGCTCGAATCTGCAAATCATCCTCGAAAATCGGTTTTAGGGTTTACAAAATTATGGGATCAGTGGAAGGAGGGGGAAACGAATGAAACTATGAAAGTAGTGAACACGTGCAATGCACAAGTTATATCTTGTTCCCGCCTTTTTCTTTCATTTTAGTAAATTACAAAAATTGCCCCCCTAAACTATTCCAGAATTAATCTTTCTAGTCCCTTGACTTTCAACTTTACATTTTAATTCAAAATTGCTATTATGATTTATGAACCATGTTTACCAACAATCCAATTTGATGGTCGATAATATTAACTGATAAGATAAGTGACTCATGTCAGTAAACATTTAGGGGTTGTTTACCAAACGTTTACCCGGGTAAGTGAACATCAAGTTACATTACCTTACCGGATAAATATGGTAAGGACCAAAAATTTTACCCAGTAAGAGCGAGGCAAAGACCAAGAGTCTTACCCGGTAAGTGAGGACGATGACTCTTACCATGGTAAGTGCTTACTGGGTAAATTATTGCGTACGATACCGTTTTGGTGGACTAAAATCTTACCCGGGAAGTAAATGGTAGTGTTAAATTTGTCGGTAAGCGCTTACCGGGTAATCGTTTGGTAAACGACCCCTTATTTGGTAAATTCTTGGTAAACGAACCTTAAAACAGTTAACAAATTTTTTTATTTTAATTTAAAGTCTGCTCTTGTTAATTTCACGGCCCCATAAAATTCGTTTGACGTGGTAAAAAAAAACTAATCGATTAATATCTTGACAAGATTAAATAAATATTTGTAAGAGTAAATTACGATTTTATCCTTATGGTTTGTTAAAAATTGCTCTCTTCATCCCCGTGGTTTTAAAACTACAGTTTTTGTCTCTATGATTTGTAATTTATTACCATTTTGATCCGTGACACTAACTGCTACATTTAAATACGACGAACGAAAACAACAATTAATTATAAACCATAAAAAATAAAACAACAATAAATTTGTAGATGATAAAAATATGAAAACGACAGTTAATTATAAACCATGAAATTAAAAATCGTAATTTCAAAAGTACAAGGATAAAAAAAGCAATTTTTAACAAACTACATGGACTAAAACCGTAATTTACTCTATTTTGTAGAAAGCTATTGATCAGTAATCGGTCAAACGGTCAAAACGTACGGATGTAATGAAGTTCGTTATGAAATCACGCTCAACAACAAGCATACACCACACCTCCAACGGAATTTAGGGTTCAAATTCACGCACAAAATTCTGAAACCTACAGATTCTGAAATCGAAGTTAATTTCAGCCCCTGCTTTCTGTGTTTATGTATCATTTCATATTATCAGGTGGCAATTTCGTTTTCATTTGTGTATTGATAGGCATTTATAGATTAGGTCTTGTAGATTATAGATTTGTGGATCTGTGATGATGAGAAGATGTCGAGCACTGAAGACACAGAAGAAAATTCATATGCTGCACGTCGGTTTCAAAGGGTGAAGCAGAGGTTTAAAGATCGATCTAAGGTATGAAGTTTTGTTTATTGTTTATATCATTTGGTGTTCGATTTTATAGGTTTTTTTGGTTGGTTTTTCGTAGAGAGTGCAACAAACAAAAGAAAAAACAAAGGAGATATTGTCTAAACAAGCGGTGAAGATCGCTAAACATGCCGAAGAACATGAAAGCTTCATCACCAAGGTCGATATATATTACATTTGATATATAATTGCTATCGTATAGTACCTGTGTGATATATGTATATATATTTTGAAAAATTTGCTTTTCTGTTTTCTGCTTTTGTAGGTAACTCATTTTTTAGGTGTCTTCGCATATGGGGGATTTTGTTTTATATTGGGTGCAAGTGAGTAAATCGTTATCGGTAGATTTTGTTTTTTCCGATTGGTGTCTAGAAATCAGAACAAATGGTTTGTAGTCAAACTGTTCGTTAATCTCTTGTTGTTTTGGTCTCAGGGCCACAAGATGTTCGATATATATACTGCTTGTTCTATATCACCTTCGTACCACTTCGATGGATTTATTATCGCTATAAGAAATGGCATTATTACCTTCTGGTACGTTCATCTCGACACTTATTTCGGTTTTTAGGTCCTTATTAAGAGATGACTATTACAACGCTTTAATAGATTGCTTTATAGGTTCTTCTTTGCTAGCTGCTTGCTAGCTCTTAATGAGATTTCTGGTTGTTTTAAAAAAATAGATTGCTTTATAGGATCATAAGTTTTCTGCTAAACATCATGTATTTCTTGTGTGATGCAGGATTTCTGCTACTATGCCAATACCATCTTCTTGATCATGCTTTTGTTCTTTCCTAGAAATCAAAAGCTTTTCATGGTTACTTTCTCATTTGCAGAGGCAAGTAGATCATCTTATATATATATATATATATATATATATATATATATATATATATATATATAGAGAGAGAGAGAGAGAGAGAGAGAGAGAGAGAGACTCAAATTCTGGGGAAACCACAAAAAATAAGAATCAAGTAACACCCTAATAACCATTAATCTGTATGCTAGCAAGTGTGCATAAAAGTAATTAAAAAATGTTTCCTGGTTTTTATGCACTCATGCCTATTGGACAAATTACTTCTATGTACATGTGATATCATACAAATGAATGGTTCATCAGTTTTCCGTGTTTTTGTGGTTCTCCTTTGAACCTGACTTATTTATGTATGTATTTAATTACTTTTTCCCATATCTTACATTGCACATAAAGTAACAAGGATCATACTTAAAAGACTTGCAAATGGACTCATAATTCATGGTTGATACTTTTGAAGGGACCTCTAGCATGGGCGTTGATCGTTTGGCGTTGTAGCTTGGTTTTTAGTTCAGTCGATAAACTTGTAAGCGTCCTTATACATCTTTTACCAGGTGAGTTGGATCAACGTTTGTTAATGGTTCATCTATCATACTTATAAATTATGATCAAATGGTGCAGTATTGATAGAACTCGACTCTAATACCATGTGAGAATATTTAATCCGCAGGTGTGGTGTTCTTTACAATTTGCTGGTGGGATCCAGCCTACTTTAAAGCGATGCATCCTGAGGAAACTGAACAAGAAGTTTCATGGCGTCAAGTTGAAAGCAAATCTTTCCTGTGTACATGGCTATTCACGGTTCCTTTGATCGCTTACGTCCTTTGGCAGGTTCTTTATTTTCTAATAGTAAATGTCCTTCGTCGACAACGGTTGTTAAAGGATCCTGAAGTTATGACCTCCTACAGGTTATCTTTTCTACTTTACAGTCTTTTCTACACATAAAAGAGTTGCATTCTCAAGTCAATAAATATGGGCACTTACGATAATTTCTACCTCTACACTAAAATGACCCCGTAAATCCCACTGAAAAGTAGGGTCTGAGGGTGTGATGTACGTAGACCTGACCTCTTAAGTATAGTGGTTGTTTCCTAAAGACTTATTGTTTATGCAATGCGAGCAGAAATTTGATAGTCCCTAAAAGTAATTTTTTACATGAAGTTACAATTAACTAGAAATGGTAGGTCTCAAGATCCTAATTCCTGACCCCTTATCCCTATGTTTGATAAACTAGTTTGGCTATTTGGTTGTTTTTCCATTAATTCATATATGGATAAAGTTGTCTGTATAGATTGAGAAGGAAAGTTTTTGTTTGAGAGTGTTTTTTCATAAATAGAAGTAGCGTGTTTTTTAATTGGAAGGAGCAGGTTTTGGAAAGAAAAAAAAACTTGGTTTTTTTCATATTTCCTCTTAGTAACTTACTAAATAAGTCATTTTCTATATTATTAAGCCACTACTAAAAAATGATGTATATCTGACCTAATAAGCTATAAATCCCATTAAACTGCTAACAAACGGGCTTTTAGTTGTTGGTTGATAAGCTATTGCTAGCTGAAAAACTAGTTGTTAGCTAATAAGTGAGATGTTTGCCGATACACTAGACATGTTTGGTAAAAATTAGCTGATAATTTAGATGACAACGTAAAAGGACCTAAAATAAGGGGCAAAATTGGAAAGGGGTGGAAAATAACCCCATTAGCTTATTGCAACGCTCCTAGTTTATGGCTAACTAAACGGGCTTTTTCAATAAGCTAGCTTATGGTTACCAAACATGGCTTATGTCTCGGTCTTTCTCACATGGTGCATCTTTCTTTATTCGTTTTCTTGTTTCTGACACAATGAAGAACGTCGTTGGTGGCCGTATAGGGGACTGTCGAAAAAGGCACAAAAAGCGAACAACATATGGTGGCGGTTAAGTGGCATTCTTGGCGATCAAAATCGAATGTTTATGTACATTTTGCTACAAGCCCTTTTCACTGTAGCGACAATGGCGCTGACGGTCCCAATATTCTTGTCGTATGAATTACACCTCATCTTCCAGATACTCAAAGTTTCTGCAGCGGTTTGGAATGGAGGAAATTTCTTGTTGGAAGTTATGCCGCGCCAAGTGGTTCTCAAGGAGAGGAAAAAACTAGAGGTGGCGCAACCGCCTGTTGAAGATCGTAGTCAAGAAAACCAACCCGTCTCAGGTGAATAACCGTTTTAGATATGCAAGTCGTAAGTTGGGTGTATAGTTTCTTACCGATGTTGGTTTAGCATAGATTTGTTAACCTTTTGGTGCGGTTCATGGTGGTTAAGACATCTGCCACTGGGCGAGCCTATTAAGTCGTAAACAAACAACTCTGTTAAAAACAGTTTTTATGTGTTGTTGCACGTACAAGCGTTGTTTTGGTCTCCAAAAGTGCGTTAAGTTTTAACAAGAAGTTATAAACTATGAAAGTTATCATTTTTTATATGTGAAATGTATATTATGGATATTACTACATGCACCCCTTTTAATATCAGAATCATGCCAAGTCATGCATTAGAAATTGAAAAAGTCTTGACGTCAACGTGCGTAAAGGAAAATTAATAGGCAGGGATGTAGCCACAAGGGTGGTGCCTGATTGGTTTAAGCTTGGCTTCAAAGGTCAAAAGTACCAGGAGGTCCCAGGTTCAAATCTAAGGAAGAATAAAAATCCCCTTGTGACCACGGAGGTTCAAATACGATGACTTTGGACTATCTGCAAAGCAGGTGATCGTTCTGGAATTAATTAGCCTACATAACAGGTTGAATATCCAGGTTAATAAAGAAAATGGCAAGGATGCATTTATCACTGCATAAGGATACATTTAACTCACCACTATATTATTTATGTTTAAGAACATTTATGATTTTTTTTTCACTGTCGACCAATCACATGCATCATCATCATCACATTATTACACCCTTTCTACTTTTAACTGAAACATAGTATTAAAGAAAATAAATTATATCTTGCTCAAACAGATCTTCTATATTGTTGTTTAAAGTAGAAAAAACTTGAAGTTTAGAATAGGGGTGTAAATAATGCGAGTTAAGCTCGAGTATCATTATGCTCGACTTGAACTCGAAACCCAATTTCCAAGCTTGAACTCGACTTGAAAATTCACGAGTAATAAAAATCAAACTCGATTCGAACTCGATAACTATTTCTCAAGCTCAAACCAAGCTCACCCATTGAAATTTATGAATTTTTAGGGTCTTTTCTCTTATAAATTTTAAAACTTAAAGATGTTCTCTTAGTTTTTATAAAACTAAAACGATCAACTTCAAACTTTATCATCATAAAGATAAAGTTAGAAATTTCATACACCTCCTTCTCTTTTTATAATATCTTTTCTCCCTTCATTTACCATCTCTTTTTCAACATGGGACAATTTCACTAATCTTTTTTATAGTTTTTCTTTGTCTTTTTTTTTTAATGTGATTTAATATATAAAAAAATTAATTAATTTTTATAATTAAAAAAAAGCATAATTTTGTTTAAATATCTAAAAATATAAGACATTTTTATTATTTATATTTTACAAATTTTATCATAAAAACTGATTATATTTTAAAACTACTTATATATAAAATAATCGAGTATCTCACGAGTTTTTCAAGCGAGTGTTGGGTAGTTTGACTCGACTCATTAATATGTCAAGTCGAGCTCGAGTTCTAGCCGAACCTATTTGAGTCGAGTGTTAGACCAAGCTTTGGCCGAATCAATCTTGAGTAGCTCGCGAGTTGTCTCGTAACGTTTACACCCCTAGTTTAGAAATTCACTAAACTTAAACAGGAGAGAAATTGTTTTTTTTTTTCTTTTACACCAAATCACCAATAAGATGAATTATTATTATTTGACATAAACTTTTTTTAAATGTTTATTGGAGGCGATAAAGTTGTAATAATATTATTAATCTTGAAATCTCTAAAGTAGAAAATCTGTCTTTTTTTTTAGAGATTTGAACTTTTGAATATCTAAATTAGAGATTTTATAAAAAAATCTATTGAAGATGTTCTAAATGGTTTATGTTTTTGTTTACAAGAAATCTCTCGTTAAATTCTTACAGTTTATTATTAATAAAATATTTTTATATATATACATATTTAGAACGATAGATTTGGAAGACAACGTATCTTTCTACATATTGCTTTATGTGGTATAACCGTGAAAAACAAAAATAAAACATGTTCTTGTTGATAATTCATTTATTTCCTACACACAAGCATATACGTTGAGACCTTATTCCGTCCAAAAGGGTTTTTTTAACCGGCAACCACTAAGTCGGTCTACAGTCTAAACTATCTTGAATCAAGAATCATGTGAGAGACAAATCAGATATACAATAATCTGTTAAGTGTCGGACTTAAAAGATCAGTACCCATAATAAGCCCAAAAGAATTGTGACTCTCAAAATGACTACAACTTAATTTATTGGTTCACTACAATAAAATAACATGATTTAATAATATTGTGTGTATTTTTTCCAATATCATCAAGAAGCAAAACTCAAACATACTGGTAAGGGCTGGAAAGGATATATTACTTAGGTGGCGTTTGTTTTTTAAGAGGTGCTGAAGTCTGAATTCACTTCTGATTTTTAAAAGGTGGTGCTGAAGTCTGAAATCTGAATCAATCAGACTGTTTGTTTTTTGCGTCTGAAATCTGAAGTTTGAAGATGAGAGATCGACAGTTGATATGGATCGACAATTGACAGAGTTGAGAGATGAGAGATCGAGACATAAGAGTTGATCCAGAGAAATCGAGCGTAAAGAGATCAGAGTAGGCAGGCAACGATTTGAAATAAGAGGTAATAAGAGGTTTCTCAACCACTTAAATTTTCAGACCTAATAAGAGCTTTTAAGCTCTTAATTGAAAAAAAAAAAAAAAACTGAATCCTCTTATGTCTGACCGATTCAGACTTAAGAGGACATTAAAAACAAACAGCCCCTTATACTTTTTTTACGAAAGTCTTTATCAACTTATTATAAGTTAGAATGATTTAACTTCTTTAAAAACTCCTTATTACCGGTTTGGTATCGGTATAAGTTATTTATCCAAATACTCAAAAGTGCTTATTACCGGTGCTACACCGAAATAAGTCAATAAGTTATTTTTATAAGCAATCCCAAACATCCCATAAATAAGGTTACCCAGGTATTTATATTGAGATTTTACATCTTAGTTATCAAAATGAAAGTTTTGAAATTGACTAACTTACGTTACATTTTCATGCAATTTACCCTGTTTCAAATAGTTTCCTACTTTCCGTATGATAGTAGTATTCTATGGGGTTGTTTGGTTGGTTTTCAATTAAATCCTGTATAAATAAAGTTGCTTGTGTATATTAATCTGTCTGTATATATTGGGAAGGTTTTTGTTTGGAAGTGTTTTTTCATAGATGGAATGAGTGTGTTCTTTAATTGCAAGGGACATGTTTGGAAAGAAAAAAAAACTTGACTTTCTACATACAACTCTCCGCTAGAAGCTTACTGAATAAACTACTTTCTATATCTTTACGCCACTACCAAACAATCATGTATAACTAACCGGATAAGCTGTGAGTCCTATTAAGCTCATTAAACTGCTAACAAACAAAACCTTTATAATCAACTATAAACAAAGGGTAGGGCAGGCAAATTCATAGTATTTTTTTAGTAATTACAATTTTATTCTTTTTCAGTTATTAAATCAAATATTATTTGCTTTGGATTCCATCAACATACATTACCAACTTTTTATTCTGCAGGTTTCATTTACACTTTTTACAGTAACTATACAACCACCTTTCTTTAGATACATTTTCCCTTTACCCCACATGGTTGTAGCTATACAAAGCAGGCCAATCACACTGTAACTATGATAACTAAAGAATAATCCCCTTTACCTACCCAAAGGCTTAGAAGGAACAAAATGAATTGATCCCAACAAAAAAATGAGTGGGAGAAGTATAGTACATACCTTGTTAAATGGACCAACAACAACTGTCTGTATTCACAGGTTCCAACCTGATGAATATGCAGACTTGCCATCAAAAGAGTTGCAAATCATCATACATCTTCATCACTCTTTCCGTTGATGCAAGAATACGAAACCCGAGTTTTCACGAATCAACAGTGGAGGTTCAATGTCGGCTATTTCTACTCGTGGCATTGACTTGGAGATATCATCCACAGAGAATGGGATGCTGTATAAAAACCAAAGTCCAACCATTTATAAGAAATATCAAGATTCTGCAACAGTGCCTATAAACTTGAAAGACTTGTCACATTCTCTAACAAGCAAAGCAAGGTTTTGTGGGGGTGGGGGTTGTTGGGGGTGGAGGTTGAGGTGGTGGGGTAGGGTAGGGTAGGGTGGGGGTGGACAATTGAGATCGAGTGTTTTCGGTAGTCAAGAATTAGCAAAGGTTGATTAAGTAGAGCCTTAATAGTTACAAAAATAACATGGGATTTGGTTTAGGATGTGTGGATTCTTATTGTGACAAGTGACTTATTATTTCAGCTGTTGCCTCTATTATACATTGAAGTTCTGATTTCTGAAAAAGTACCTGGAATCATCATCTAGCAAAAATGAAGTGCTAACAGAATTGTTTGAGTCCTCCGTCATCATAACTCTCATTTTGGAAATGATCTAAAGAGAAGAGAATTCTTAGAAGGAGATGTTGGATAAGAAATAAGCTTCAAAATGAACAGAAGTTAAGATGCGCTTGAAGCAGGCCAGTTTAAAGTGGGTTACAAGATATAGCATGACCAAATACACTTTATATATATAGAGAGAGAGAGAGAAAAAAAAAAAGAGAGAGGTTAAGGGGAAAACCCAAAAAAATGAAAAACTAAAGGACATCCTGATAATAATTCATCTGCATGTTTCTCGGTTTTTATGCACATACACATGTGTATACTGGACAAATTGTTTACAAATTACTTATATGCGCATGTGCATAACGTCCAGATGAATGGTTATCAGGGCGTTCTTCAGTTTTTCATTTTTTTTGCGGTTTTCCCCTAAACTTGACCCCATATATATGGAGGGATGGTCAAATGAGAATGGTACCTATTTAAAAGAACACGAAAACGGACGGATCACATGTGATTTTACACTAACATCACATACAAAATCACATGTGATTTAGGCGACCTTGCCCGGCGACCTGAAGACGCAGCCACAAGTCGCCCGGCCACCCTTTTTGACCTTTAATGTAAAATCACATGATTTTGCACGTGATTTGCCCGTTTTCGTGTTCTTTTAAATAGGTACCATTCTCGTTTGATCCTGCCTCTCTCTCTCTCTCTCTCTCTCTCTCTCTCTATATATATATATATATATGTAAATTGTATTATTTGAATGTAACTTACATCTGAAGATACACTGTGTGTACCGTATTTGTCATCCCAATACATCGTACTAATTCGGTATAGCTGCTGTATGCTGAGCACCTGCATGAGCCAAACACGGTTTCAAAATAAGATAGAAAAGGAAAAAGGTTTCATGGCTATTCGGAAATTTGAAAGTCGGAGATTTTCTCACAGGACAAAGTTCATTGGTTATTTCTTTCAACGTTTTCCTGGGCTTCTGATGTATAACCTTAACAAGGAAACAAAGGAGAAAATGTGGTTAGAAGCAAGCAAGAAGTACGTGGAGGTGGAGCCATGAAGGCAAAACTCACCAAGAATCCGACTGCCTGTCTGATATGCTTTAACTCATCCCAAGCTGAGCCTGCATACTGTTAATCAAAATGTTTTAGGAGAATACCATGGGAAATTCCAGCAACTACAAGTTTCATTCAGTCATAGTGCCTGATGTTATACAAGTATTATATACTTCAGAAACAAAAGTTTCATTCAGTCATAGTGCTTACTTCCTCTGTTGCATAAAAACACCATTGTTCTAATTCAGCTAATCCTGACTTCACGTATTCCCCGTTGCTGAATGAGCAGCATTCACGTCGCAATAGAAGGCTGTCACCATAAGGGCAATAACAGTCGTGATTGGGTAAAATATTCGATATTGGATTAATTTTAACATTTCTTATCATGCATGATCAAGTTGACTGCTTTCACAAAAGGGTATAAATACAGTTCAGTTTACCTGTTGAATAGCTGAACATTGATAAATGAGAATATTTGTGTGAATATATTGCGCACCAAGAAAGAGGGCACCTGTAAAGCAAGAAATCAAGAGATGAGAATAGCGCTACCATAGAAGAAGAATCACAAATGCGGCTGTACAAGGGTCTTAAATCTCACATAGTTTGCTTTCATTATCTTCAAGCAACTATCTAAGCTTTTTACAATGCTTTGCCAATGAGCATTCACCGCTTGCTGAGCCACACCTTTAGCTTGGGATCGCCCTTTCACCAAACTTGCACGTGATGTCCTAGGAACCTGCATATACTGCAAACTTCAAATCCCAAATATTAAACAATTTTTTACCATCTTGATAATCTTTTAGTGGGTACAACGGTTGTCTGTTATAGGAGGGAAGAGTATCATATCTTAGAACTAAAATTAGCCAATAATGCAGTGTTCAAGAAGGACGAGCTCAAATTTAGTAGTTCTACATTCTCCCCAAAATAACTGAGATTTGCCCTTTGGAACATTAAATCTAGAATCCATTCTTCAAGGCGTCTTCTAGTGTTTTTAGAAAGAAAAAAAGCTCATATTTCTCCATAAATTATCTGAAGAAACTATGTTCATTGAGCAAGGCTCTGCCATATACATTTATCATGTCAAATTACACATCAAAATACACCACAAATATGTACTCTTCTATATATAACAGCCAAATAGGATAAGATAGAACTTACCTGGATGCATGATCCTATTAACGGAGATATTTCTTTCTTCAGATTATCCCGTATTAATCCATATATCTTTTCAAGAAATGCTGTAAGTTGCTGCTTGAACAACAAAGCAGGATATTTGGCCTCCACCTGTCGTAAATCATCCAGTCTACCAAGAATTTGGCCACTAAGATATGGAAGGCCACCACTCTGAGGAGATGCTCGTAACCCCTAAATAACTTTAAATCTCAAAATCTATGAAAAGAGAGTAGAACCCAACAAGTAAAAGTTATAATTAAACATTAAAAAATGGTGCTGCATATGTTGGTCATACCTGGGAGGACATCCTTCCAAAAAGAGAGGCTGATGACCTCCGCCTTTGTGGAGTCATACTAGCTGCTTCACTTGCTTTAAGGGTGTGTTGAAGCAGCGTCAACAATGTGGATGTATTGCACAACCAGTAGCCTAAAACATCATTATTATCGTGGACCTTCATCACAGGAAAATCAAAGTCAAATCCAACTCCCAAATTCCTGGACTTACTCAAAACAATCCATCAAACAGAAACTGTAATTTGCTACTAACGACATGGACGTATGGTAATCTCAGAACATTGATAAATTAAAAGCATTCACCTCTATGGCGGAAGCAATGGTTTCGATTATGCGATCAAATACAGTTGTTCGGTCAACTTCAAATGACCTCCAGTGCAAAAGGCACTTGTATATAACACAAGCAGCAACAGGTTTGCCGCCGTGTAATCCTAGATCTTGTGAAATACACTTGATAAGTAGATCCTGGTTCTCCTGAAGAAGAACATTAAGTAGCAATTAATAAGTTCAGAGATGATCAGGAGATAACATGAGTTCTGGTTTCAAGAGAATAAATCATATCCTTTTGGTAACTAAACGATTATTTTAGTTCATTTAATTTCAAAGTTATTCATGTATTTTCACTTTAGCAAAAACTACATGTAAATGTGATGAAACTTATGTGTCACTCAGACCCGTCACTTACTTGTTGCTTTTCGTTAAGAGACTTTTGTGGCTTCTCCTCTAATTCAGGTTCCCTCGTATTTGATAGAACAATCGACATTTCCTGAGCCACATAATAATACATAAGTGATATAAACTTTTTACCTTGAGCTTCTTAATCTATTTTACACGAGATAATTTATATTCGAGGATATTAAGTATAATTACAGGTGTAGTAGGCCTTGCTTCGCCATTTTGGATGTTCCCATTCTCCAGTGTTCTCTGTAGATTCATCCATATAGACTGAGAATGTTTATCCATGAGCAAGAGAATAACTGAAATCTAGTTTCCTTTTGTATGGTACCTGAAAAAAAGTTGTCCTTGGCCGTGGAGGTATGGATTTTCCAGTAGGTGACATGATCAGTGCTTGTTGGCGAAGTACTTGATTCTCCGACTCTATATTGGAGAGCTTCTCTTCAAGCCTAGAAAAGTCAAAAGAAGACATAATAAATGTTCCAGGTACTCACAAACAAATAAAACCAAGATGTGCAAACACGAGAGGTTGGTATTCAGTAGTGCTTGATATAAAGGCACATACCTCTTCATTTGTACAAGGGTATTTCACTAAGGTAAAAAGTAAACAAATTTATCTTTCATAATTGAGTGAAAAACCTCCGTGTGGATTCCTGAAGCTGGTCTGCTCTTTTTTCTGCATCTTCAAGTTTTCTTATTAGCTCCGCATTCCTGGCATCAGCTTCTATGTAAGACTTCCTCGCCTCTTCAGCCGTCTGTTTTTGGTTTAGCAGCAAAGCCTGTGCAAATTTTATGATTTCATTAAGCCATCATATCCCCCCAGGTCTATTTAAGGAGCTGATTGGTTGGTTTTCCATTAAGTATTATATAGATAAAGCTGTCTGTGTATATTTATTTTTGTGTGTATAGATTGGGAAAGTTTTTGTTTGGAAGGGTTTTTTCTAGATGGAATGGGCATGTTTTTTAATTGGGAACGGCAGGTTTTAAAAAACTTGGCTTTCTGCATAAAGGCTCCCTCCTAAAAGCTTATTGAAATAAGTCACTTTCTATATCATTAAGCCACTAACAAACCGTCGTGTGTAGCTGACAGAATAAGCTATGAGTCTTATTAAGTTCATTAAGCTGCTAACAGACAGGCCCTAAGTTTTCCTTATAGTCCACCACCAATTTTGTAAACCAGGCAAGCATAAATTAAATGATACTTGCAAAGGCAACTTTTGAGGAAGCAACCATTTCGTCAGATACCTGCATTGCATGCATATATAAATGCATAGTAGATCAAAGTTTTAACCAATATATCTACTTAATTCACATTCAACCAAAATATCTGAAAAGGGTGCAATGATTAGATGCTTGTTACTCTAAGAAAAACAATGGCAATAGCTTCCAAAGATTATAGTGATAATTTTCAACAATAAATGTTTTACAACATGAAACAAAAAGAACCATTTTTTAATTGAGGTGCCTACCTTTAAACTTTTGATCTCTGCTGTCAAGGTGTCAACCTTTTCTGTATCCTGAACTATAACCGGTGTTTGCTTAACCACTGGAGGAGCATCTTCAATAGCTTTCTGTGCTGCTTCACGCTCTTCAATTACTTTAGCATTTGCTTCATCTATTTGGATTTGCATCATACGCAATGCATCCTGCAGCTTTGCAGTTTCCTGTATTTTCGTCTGTTCCAATTCACTCTGTTGGCACGTAAAATAACAATCATGGTGAGAAAAAGCAGCAAATTTGAAGCAGAGGACACTAAGATAAAATTACTCTTAGTCTCTTTTCCAGCTGCAAACGCCATGTAAGTTCTTCCACACGCTTTTCTAGTTTGTCTTTTGCCTCTTTGAGGGCCCCTGTCTCCCTTGCTGCCTGAATAGATGTACATAATTGTCACCAACTTGAAACATATTTCTAGTACCAAGAAACATAAGCTCCTAGTAAGATGGGGATACCATTTTGAGAATCCGAAGCTCTTTCCTGGCAACTCTTTGCCTCCAACCACATTGAGTAACTATTGCAGCCTTCCGGAGACTCATGTAGTAAGAATATGCACTATAGCGACGGAAGTGAACCTGCATGCCATCGGAAGATTCATTTGATCTATGTTGACTCATTGGGATTAAAAGCTACATTGAGGTGCTTAAAATACATGCTATTTGTAGAACCTGTATGAAAGTTGCAGCCTTAGTTTGTTTTCGGTATCTAAACTCATCACGAGCAGTCGTTGCTCTCAACCCTGTCTGCAATGTGATGACACACATCCTAAGTGTTAGATACGATTTGCTAGCAACAAAACACCGGAAATCCTTCTGAATCTTGACCGCAGCAGCTTCTCTTCGCAGTTTATCAAGTTGCTTGCTAGCTGATAGGCCTGATTAGACAATAGATGGAGGGGTCAAACTCTAATAGGATGAATTATTACGGGGGAGGTCAACTATAAGTCAGTCACATCATGGCTCAAAGAAACAATTCTAACCAATACCAGAATTCTCATAAACTGTTACGTTAACACAACATTATCTACAGAGTTTGTGGATAATATATAAAAACAATTTCAAAATTTTCATAAATGTCAGATGCATAAGCTGGATAAAACAAGAATAACGAGAGCAACATAGAAAATAAAAATGAAAAAGAGCAGCCAACTGATACCTCGCCAACACGACTGCAACTGGATAGCAGCTTCGCGTATTAAGATATATTCCTTGCGGGCAATATAGGTGCGAATTTGCCTTTGAATAACCTTAGCTGCATCCCCAAGAACCACTACTCTCCTTGTATCGAGTTCAGCCATTTGACCTGCTCGTAGAAACACCTTTGTTTTACCAATCTGCAAGTAGTTACAATATCTTTCTTAGCACTTGAAGCTTAAATTTCATTATAGCATGTTGATCATTTGGTCTACTCTTTGCATCTTATGGAGGAAGAGAAATTCTTTGGTCTTCGAAAGAGATGCTCGGATCGACATTCGAGAGAGATTTTTGGAAATTCAGTCAACCTCCTTTATTTGGATCTCGAACAGGACTAAGAGCAACAAACCTTCTTGGGTGGATTGGTTGTGTGGATCTAATTGGCAGTCTTAATGTCCGTCTAGCTCATGTTTTGGTCCTATGCTTTTGTTTTGTATCATTTGCTCTTTCTGGTTTCTAGGTTTTTTTGTAGTGGTTTGATTGTTCTTCCTTGCGTTATCCCCCTTGCAGAATGTGGAACTCTCCGGTGTATTGTTTAGGGTTCCTCCCTGTTCTTTTCAACTTAATATTATTGCCTTCCAAGAAAAAAGTATGCTAGCAGCAATAACTGGCAAATGGGATTTACCTGGTAACCTTTCAATCCCATTTTATCCAGAATCATCTGGCATGCTATCTTCTCATCATAGCTACATTAAAGGATATAATTGGAAAACTATGATGGATAATTGACACAAAGGAATCAAAAGTATTCACAATAATGAGAACAAGATCATTTAAACATACTTTCCATCCAAAACATCAGGAGCTAGAACACCAAAACGAAGAAGAAATTCGTAAAATGTTCGCCTGGTAGGATAACCAGCACAACTTATCCTGATCGCCTCCAGAACACCCTATATTACAATAAGTTAGAACATGAGCAATATAGGCCAAAAGGATGCTACACTATTTTGCCAAGGTACTTTCAGCTTGAGTCCCATTAGAGCCAGGGTTTATATTTTAATTTACTTACACCACAGCGCAGTTGTTGGATGATGTTTAGGTTCTCAAAGATAGCAGGCTTGAGAACGTTGTTTGGCTTCACACATCTAATGTAGTGAGGTTCAGTTGAACTCAAGGTTTCCATTAGAGAATGAAGCTGTAGCTGCAAGTAGTAGACACATTCATCTCTCATCAGAATACTCAGCAATTAAAAGTTCTGTTTACATCATATAGCTGCAAGCATGCAAACTCCTAGCTGCGAAGTGGAAGTCAGTTAATCGTTACCGCATGCCAGAATCCTAGTTTAAAGAAAATTGGCACCATAGCTGAAAACGGAAATCATCCACATTTAGAGCAAATGAAATTCTAGATGGCGGTAAACAAAAAGCCAATAAATCTTAAAAGAACAGAAGAGAATAGAAGAGGAGAAAAGTCCACCAGAAACTAATGTATTTCAGTTAAAACCTCATTCTGCATTATGGGTCTAACAAAATTGAAACCAGGAATCTTAATCCAACGTATTGCTCTGTAATACCCCCTCCTTCAACATTTTTTTTGAAGAATGGTTTGATTCTCTCCCACCCCCACCCCCAATAAATAGAAAAAAGACCCTGCATTCTGTGTCATCATGGATCTCACAAAATTGAGCAGCATGCCTGATGTAATCTAATATACAAACTGCATAGATACATGTTGCTTCATCCTCCACCTTAAAGCAAATTTATGCGGTCATTGAGAAGGAATTAGTGATAAACTGATAAATCAATTTGAAAAAAAGAAAGACGATAAGAAAAAAAGGAAAAAGAACATAGCCAAGTGAGAGACAGAAAGACTGAGGTCGCCGCAGATTAAAGAAGAAATGGGAGGTAAAAGCGAAATAAAATATTTCGTCGCTTTCAAAGAAAAGGTCTCTCCAGCTTTAATGAGATTTTTTTGTGGTAGGGATGGACAAGGATTCCTAAAGAGGGATTTAGTAGCATGTTAGTACTTATGATCTTTCTACAAAATATCAAAATGGTGGAAAAATGACCATAATTGATTAGTGGATATGAAGATTTAATTCCTCTTGTGCTTTCCTTCAAAGTATATGCAACTTCAATGGCCTCAGCACTATTTAGTGTACTTCCTTTGGAAAGCCGGTAACTGTTTTCCTGTGACATCTTTTCACTGGATATCATCCTGGAGAAGATTCAGTCAAGCGCATACTATATTTGGCTAGGATAGTGAAGTGTAGAGCACATAATGTATTCGGCTAGGATAATGAATTCCAAGAGGTTCCAGAAGATACAACTAATGGTGACGATGGAAACATCATGTAAAAAAATGGATTCTCCAAATTTGTCATCGACTAGCAAGACAACAGACATGCTAGCGATATTGTCATAATATGTGCTCCACGCTCTGACCACACTTGGCCTACAGCCTTATTCAAAGCATAGAAATTGCATCAGCAATAGCTTATGAATGACCGCATAATATCTCAGGTTGATAATCCCGTGCTCTGCACTAATAAGTTGCTTGGTCCAATAATGTTTTCATATTGAATTATCAAGTTCAAAGTAACGCAATTGAGCTTTATGGACTATTTCACAGACCACTTAGCAGAATGCAAGAATATCTGTATTTGTTAGATTGCCTTCATATCGTGCTTTACATTTCATGAAAGAAATCAGTTTACTATCGAGCAACTATTCAAATTTGCATACAGGAAGAAGGCCAAAAGCAAAAGAAATACCTTAAACCGTGTACCAATGGAGGAAAATTTGGATGATTTGGACGATGCTTCAGGAAGTGGAGGAAATAGACCAACAACAAATGGATACTTTGAGGCAGTTAACAAGCTTTGATGTTCTGCCACCACATAATCCTTGTTTTTGTCTAGAAACTGATCAGCTAAATAATTCACCTGCAGTACTAGGGATATAAGAGGAAAGTGAAAAAAACTGCCATATATGGAAATATAAGCAAATATGCACCTCCCCAGCATAATGAGATATGGTAAAACTAGTGCGAGAAAGCTTGGGTTTGATGAAGCGCTTGTTCTTTGCAAATGTCTGGTATAGCTTTTGAGCAAAAGTTTCATGAGTAGACTTGGGGAACATGCTGCATCAGGTAGATTAGTTAACGAAAATCATATGCTGATATAGAAATCAAATGGCGCACTGAAAAATTACAAAGATAAACAAGAACATGCTATTTATAATGAAAAACTACGATGATACGTACAACCCTGGTTAGACAAAAATAGAAACAAAAATGTAGAATAATATAGGATTACTATCAAGAGCATTTGAAATAGGCTCACACCATGCTTCATCTAGAAGTGAAATGATCCCTCCAGGTTTCTGCAAATATTTCCATTACAAGTATATTTAAACAAGAAATACAATTTGACAATCACATACTTCAAGAAAAGATGAAAAGAGAAATACTACATAGTGGATAAATAACAATGTATCACACATTTAGTTGAGCACCTTTTCAATAAGATCCAAAACATCTTGGTTATCAACAAACTCTATGTAGCTCCAATTTATTGCTTCCTTTGTGTACTCTTCTTGTTCCATTTTAAACACATGCTGCAACAACAAGTTGCAAACAAATGAAGATGGTAATTTCACACATGCGCTTCCTCATGTGATGGATAATTCACACAAACAACCAAACCTGGTTAAAGTGTTGTTGTAGTTTTTCATTTGTAAAATTGATGCAGAACTGCTCAAAACTATATATAGCAAACCTTTCGTCAGCATAACAGCATTCAGGTTCATGTCTTGTTGTAGAACATAACTTCCATAAAAACTACCTGTTGTGCTTAAAACTCTCAAACCCATATATGTCAAGAACGCCAATTAGTGATTTTGAGTTTGGATCTTGTCCGATTGAGCTGTTTAGTTTCTCCACAATCCTAAAAGATGTAGATGGTGTAACTAGATTCTGAGCAGAAAGATAAGAAACACATGTATCATTGTCCATGAATATTAAACCAATATTAATTATTCTCACCAGTCAAACAAGCGAGAGTAGATTGTTTTAGCCAAAGCATCCCTACTACCCAGTGCAGCTTCAGGATCAAGAATCATTGTAATAACTTCCTCAGGTGTCACCATTACACGCTTGATCAATGCATCCTCTAAGCTCTTAGCATCACACCTATTACATGATAATGGTTGGTTGATACTAACCATCAATCACAAAGCAAGCATATAATGCAAATCTGTGAATGGAAAAGGACAATAGAAGCCTACATAAGCAATTCAGCTGTTATATTCAGATGGAACCTAGACTTCTCATCTTTAATGACCGAAGAGTCAATTTCATGTCCCTTTGCAAACTCGATGTTACCAAGATGAAGAATTGCAGCCACTACCCTGAATATTGCCTCCTGAAAAGATCTGTGTAATATAAGAAAATCCAAGATACTACATAAAAAAACATGGGCAGGGTCAAGAAAGGTGACCTGTTCTTCTCCACTGATTCCGAGAATATCCATGGCCCTTCTTGTAGCAATATATTCATGAGCATCATTTACTCCCTCAAGCTCGTATGATTTTGACTGATTTAAGTAATGATATGACTGAGGGCTTTCAAGTTTAAACTTCTCTCTGTCCTGCAAATAAGTGAAAAAATCCTCTTGTGATTGTCAAGTCTATTACTAATATCAGACATCAGTTTGTCGCACAGGATAAGGTAAGGAAGAACCTATAGATCCAGAAAACTAAAGGAGCTTAAATACCTCAGGTGGTGCCGCACAAAGAAGATAAAAGCAATGGTAGTTTCTTTCAGGATTTGATATCTGACAAACACGAGATCTCTCAAGAAGATAAGTTCTGATGGCTGCCCCTGATATCCTCCCACTCTTATCAAACTGTATCTCGACAAACTTCCCAAAACGACTATGTTTGCATGCCACACAATCAACACAGTTTAGCTAGTCAGCATCATAATGATGAGAAAGCCAAATATAACTCAACTGTTTCCACGTTAATAAATTGGCAAGTTTCACCTTGAATTGTTGTTCCTAACAGTTTTTGCGTTGCCAAATGCTTCGAGTACTGGATTGGACTGCATATGGATTTAGTGAAAAACAGGAAGAAGAAAAAAACAATAAAAATAACTTTTAGCAAGCTGGTGGTATTCACAGAAACAACCTCTTTACTCCTTGTGGTAGAGGAAAGATCTGTGTACATCTCACCCTCCCAAGTCCCAACCCTACTTCGTGTTACTGGATTTGTATGGTTTGGTTTGGTTTTTAGGATTTAGGAAGAAGGAAAAATAAAGATTGCGGCATTTTCAGAACTAGAAATGAGATGTCGGTTATAAATAAACTTGGCTTACTTGCAGGACTTGTTGTTCAACTGTCCGACCTTCTACTCCGGTACGACCACCTAAATGTGCGAGATATCTCATGAGCATCTTTGTTGTTTCAGTCTTACCAGCACCACTTTCTCCACTGACCAAAATTGAGTTGCTTTTTCCTTCCTTGATCATCTCCCTGTTTACAAAGTAAATCAAGTTAGCTGGGAAAAGCTAAAAGAAAAAATAAAGAGGGTAAACTAAATTAACATTAAAAGCATCCTCTAAGATACCCTCACTTAATAGAACGTTAATATTACCTGTATGCAACATCTGCAACTGCAAAAACATGAGGGCTAAGTTCTCCAAATGCTGCCCCTTTATATTGCTCCATCATATGTGTATCATAGAGATGAGGTAATCTTTGAAACGGATTTATCGCAATTAGAATGTTCCCGGTATATGTCTGTAGGAGGAATAAAAAAGAGTATGGTATCAGCAATCATTTAGTTCTGCTTCCAAGATATACTCAGTTGAGGAAAAATAACTCAACATCTTACATATATTTCATTAAGCTCATATCTGGTAGACAAGTTTTGCAGCACTCCTGGTTCATGCAAATATGAAAGCCTGGTCATGTCATCTACACCACCTGCAGGGGCTTCAGTATCTTTGGGAAAAACTTTTGAGAAGTTTCTGATAACCTGCAATCATATTAAATAACCTCAGTTGCACAATTAAAGCAAGCATGAGAACCGTCAAATTGTCAAACGAGAATTCAGACCCAAATGAAGCTTCAGGCCTTATGCCAGCAGCTACAAGAATCAAGAGGCATAAACCATCAAAATAAATAATGACCTTTCCAGCAATCATAATCCTTAGGGGAGGAGCTTAAGTAAACAGTTTTGCGTGTTTCATGTATTTTAGATATTGGACAGAGTCTAGCATTATGCAATTAGGACCATGACAATATCTTCAAAAGTTGCATTAGAAGCACATGGAAAATAATTCACATAGCTGCATAAGGAGTAGTCGAAATGACATTGTCATAATGAGGTTTACCAAGCTGTAAGGTTAGCCTTTAAAAAAACATAACATTACAGTAAAGCGTTACACCTTTGTTCTAAGTGGTGACGAAGTTGTGCTAAGTCAGTGATGAATTGGTGCAATGTTACACCTAATATAAAATTGGTGTAATGTTACGTCTTTGTTAAAAGGGGTGTAAAGTGCCTTCTAATATCCATAAAGTTATGGCTTTGTAAAAAGGTCATAACCACATGTGTACCATGCATGAGTGCTGCCTAAGCTGCTTAAATTCGGTTTTCTGAAATAATCATATAAAATAATAATACAACTTTTTTTGTATGGCGTCTAAACTATAGAAAAATAATCTAGCATCACGACACTCACCGTCTTCCCATCTGTGGTATTAACATGAAGCTCCTGACCATTAATTCGGACTACTTCGCCATCAATCCATGCTAAAGCAGGATCCTCAACCCATACATGTGAACCTACAATAATATTAACCGGTGCAGCCTGCGAGCACTTAATTGCATTAGAAGCAAAAGGATGAAATAAGAAAGTTGTACAAATTTCAGATAGCCCACACATGAAAACATATAATTATCATATAGAAGACAGCTGGGATCATATTTGTTCAACCCTTGTAGTACCATTCGAAATGATAATGAAGTCCTAAGATGCTAACTCACAAGACATGGGACTGGTTTATGAAGTATGCTTATCAAGAATCAAGAATATGGTATTTTCTCAAATAAGATTTTGAGAGTATTATAGATTATCCTTATGTACCTCATGTCATACTATCAATCTATCATATGCATCCACAAACCAGTATGGTATTAATAATTGTATAATGTATTGGCATTCACCCATTGCATAACATTCTTGTTTCCCATTGTTGGAATAAATCATTGTAGGAAAGGCTTATGGGGAGAAGAGGTAAATGGCAAATGAATCAGATACATGAACCACTAATTGCGTACTTAAGAAGGAAGATTACTATATACTCCTACCTGAGATCAGATGCCACCCTCAGAAGGCGCACAATTTAATTTTAAAGAAATGAAATTAATACTAACATGCTTATATTTACCAAAACACTTATAAATTATAATACATTCAGACCTTAACTAGTCATGGTGCTTCTTCAGAACATTATTGTTACCAAGCATAATTTTTAGAGAAGCCAAATCAATATATGTCCATTTAAGAGAATATGCTTGGCTGGAAAAAGTAGGAAGTAAAAAATTAATGAAATTGTAGGGAGCATATCATAAGCAATAAGAATCTAACTGAAATTATTTCTTGGCTCTAAACAACCTTGGTCAGTTGCCAGACAAGACGTTATCCTTCTTTTACATATAAATTTGCATGAATTTGTATTTATGCACAATAAATCAATGTACTAGACACAAAAAATTTACAGCAAATATAACTTTGTAACAAGCCATGACAGAAGTTTTCCTTTTTATATAGTAACCAATGCACACTAATAGAGCCCACTTACCATCATTACACGTACATTATCTAATATATTCCCAGTCAGGCGTCAGCCACATGAACCGTCGAAAATGTTCAATTCCTGAACAGTAAACAAGAATCTATTCTATAGATTTCCTCAAAAGTTGTGTTGATACACTTTTTGGTACATTCTGCCTGTTAGCCTGTGTCTTGGTTGAGTTTTTCTCGTCATCAATGTGCAGAAGTTAAAGCCACATAAAACTATTATACATTAGACGATGATAAGCAAATATTGTAGCGCTACAAGCCTACAATTGCGTTAAACCTTCCTAAAAATAGGCACTACCACTTGATGTCAAGTAGTCATGTTGTATCAGTTGTTTTTTAATGACAGAATCTTTCATCCTTTTGAAATTTCACAAGATTCTAGCATATATACAAGCATATGCAGTCGCCTCTCTCACGTAACATCTCAACGTGATATACCTAAGATGATGTTGGAGCGTCGAAATTGAGGTTTGAATTGAAAATGAAGTTCAGAAGTTACACACCCTCCATGTCAAACCAAGTATTCTGATATTTAGCAAAAGATCTGCTTTAATTAACCCCACAAATCCCGATTTCCAAATACATCAACCACAAATCCCAATGATCAGAGCATTTGAATTCACATCTACACCCTTCTATGTTCCCTCAAGGTATGTTAGGAACCTGAGCAAATTGGTACACAATTTAAACTTCATGGGCCACAATTCCGATTCTGAACTCCAAATTACATGATTTCAATCACCACTCATTTATATAAAACAATTCCTAATACAGGAAAACCAGCTTCCCCTCTTATCATAAATGCCATATATACAATACATTAACATACATGCCCACATTTACGTAGAAGCTTCACAAAACCCAAAAAAAAACATATAACAAAGAAACAAACAAACCTGAGTTGATAAAAAAACAAATAGCATCAATACGTATAAGCCAGATACTACAATTTACAAAGTGAAATTAAAGTAGTGGACTCGTTGAAAAGATTTGACTTCTAAAATATAAAAAACTAAGCAGCAAAAGTAATCATTGAGCTACTTTAGCATAAAGACGTACCATTGATGATGATTCCTTTGAACAATCGATCTCCTTCTCATCAAATGGAAGCAGAAAGTGTCAACGATATCAACTCCACCAATCAGATCGGTGATAAAAAGGAACAAAACAAAAGCTTATTTGCAGATATGATTTAGCAAATAAGAGAAATTTTGGGAATTCTCAATAACTGATGTAAGCAATTTGTGTGTGTTACTTGTGTATACGTGAATAATACACGCAGTAAAGCAACAGAAAAGGTGTTGTGTGTGTGTGTCTCTCTCTCTCACAACTTTCTCTGTCGTCTGGTCAGCATGAAGGCAACTCTCGACTCGAAATCGGACATTCGACCGCCGGTTTAGGAGCGGTTTGGACATAAGGTCTCTTTTGCTCTATATTTACGAAAGTACCCTCTCTAATGTCATTCAATTATGATATTTATATAATTACAATTCCATAATTAAATAAAACGATGTTCAAATAAAAAKATATTTTGTTAACATATTTTATTTAATATACAATTATRTATGTTAATGTGATAAGAATGTAAAATAAAAATAAAAAATAATCAACTAAGTATAATGTATATAGTTGAATAATCAACTAAAAAGTTAAATACGTATCTTTTAACGTATTTTAGCTAATATAGTTTATGTGATAAAAATGTAAAAATAAATTTTAAAAATAAATTAATAAAGTATAATATATTTTAACCTATTTTAGCTAATGTATTTTAATGTGATAATGATGTAAAACAAATGATGTATCATAAATTAAATAAATAACTATAAAAAGTATAAATCGTAAATATTAAAAATATTTTTTTATAATATATATAATAATATAATTAAGTCAAAAACTATTCAATATTGGACTCATTTCGAAGGTATTAACGAGACGATTATAATGGTGTAATTTGTTAAAATAAAAATGTATTTTTTAAACATGTTTTAATTGATATACGATTATATATGTTAATTTGATAAATGTTTAAAATGAAATATTTAAAAATAAAGAACGTAAAATAAATTAATTAACTAATTATAAGGGTATAAAATGTAAATTTAATATTTTAATTTTAAAATTTGGTTGAATGTGAGAGGGGGTGAGCATGTGAGGAGAAGAGTATGTGAGGGGAGGGGGTGAAAAATGACGTAAGAGGCTATCAATATCCACCCTCTTTATATTCACTTTTTCACCTCCACCTCCACCTCCACCTCCACCTCTCTTCACATACACTCACCCCATCACATACATTCACCATTTCACAATCGATTTATTTATTCAAATTGTATTAATATATAAAGATCAGGCGTAACCATCATCGTTAAATCTTATTTTATAAAACAAGTGGAACTTCAAAATTATTAAAATTCATGGCTCCCGCCGTATTGCGCGGGTACACAACTAGTATATATATATGGTTGGGTTCACGTGAGACCAGTTTGTTTTCGTAAGACCCATAAGACCATTTTTTTTACACTTGAAACTTCACAACAGAACTCCATGGAGGTAAAAAAACCAAACTTTCATAGCAAAAACGGTGTGAAGGTTACCTTCACAAAGTTTTGCTGAAGTTTCAAGTTATCAAGTGTAAAAAAAATGGTCTCACGAGGTCTCATGAAACCAGACTAGTCTCACGTAATCCCAAAAATATATATATATAGGTAGAGGTTCAAACGATAACACTTTCATTTTACGAGAACACCCTTATCACATGTGATAATACGCGTAAGAAAACCATGTGATGTACAAATAACGTGTTCTACGAATGAGTAAAAAGTTGTTATAACCTATGATGATTTCTATTTTTTAAATATTATAATTATATTATTAATATAATTACTATATTTGGAATATTATTTCGTATTAATTTCAGTAATTTATTTATCTTGTGTTTTACATTTTGTAAATTACATTTAAATTTGTAGTGTTTTTTTACTGTTGAGGGCACACCATTTATAATGTTTTAGGAAAATTGCATCAAAATGGAACCAACTTTCACATGATTCCTATTTTGGGGAACGAACTTTCAAAATCGTCATTTTGATGAACCAACATTCACCTGATTCTTATTTTGGGGAACCAACTTTCAAAATCG